CTGCGTAATTACGTGCTGCAGTTTTGACGCCACTCCATTCATACGAAGATTTTTTTTCACTCGTGGCCATAGAAGTTTTGCAGGAAGTATGTTCATGGTGGTATTCTTTGATTCCGATCATTCAATATGCATATTTTGTTAAATTACTTTCACGTAAGTGAATAATACTTAAATGTATTAATGCAATCTACATATACTATGCATTTTATACAAAAGGAAAGTAATTCGTTTCGAACATCTTCAAATTGTTAGGTTCAATAAATTATTATATTACCGCAAAGATTCCTAATGTCACTGATTAAATTTCTCTATAATTTTTTTCACAAAGCTCACTATAAGGCGACATAATGCTTCCTTGATTTAGTAGAAAATTAGTCCCAAAAGCATTACACGGATCTGGGTCAATATTATTTCAAAAATCTGCGTGTGTGCTATTCTCAACGAATAGCTATAAGGTGATGCTAAAGGGGAAGATTGAGTAGAATATTTTACTCACAAAAAAAACAGCTGTAAGTCAGTCGCAGACCTTATTGGAGTTGTGACATTTTTTGTACCTGGCAATTACATGTGTGGAATACTGATAATTAAAAAAAATTAATCTTTTTTAGAACTCAGACCTCAATTAAATGCCTTAACAAGGCATTTAAAAAACAAGTGAAACCTTGCTTATAATTAAAGCATTTACAAATATGCGACTAAGATAGCTAAAAATTACTCGCAATTTCAAAACCTATGTACTATCAACTCACAAAAACCTGATGATTAAATTTTCAGATAAAAATGTTGCCCTCTAAAATTCAGAAGCCACCTTAGTCAACGTGAGGAACAGAAGAACCTCCGGAGGAATCCGAAGCAGATGAGATCTCGAGAGCGCACGAGAGTGCCTGCGCTTAGAGGGGTCGTCATCTTCCATTATTGTTTTAAAAATCTGATCTCATCGCATTAATCTCCCGTCGTCGCCATTTCCCCACCCAACCAACCTTTCCTTCAGAGGTGCAATTTCCAAATGACGTGCAGAGCCAGAACTTTCGCCGGGGCCAATCCCGGCTGTCGATCCCCAACAGCAGAGGTGGCGAGGCTCAGAGGGAACGTGGGAAGTGGGAGGAGAAGGAAGAAAAGAGGAGAAATGTGGAGAAGAGAAATGAACGGTGATTTTACGCGACTCCTCGGGCGTGCCTCTGCCTGATCGCTAACGCACCGTCAGTGTTAGAAAAGGATCAGTTTCCAATCAACGCTTTCCTTCAATTCCCGTATAAAATAGATTTGACATTTTATTTAAATGTGTTTGATACAAATTTAATTATTCTTCGGCACAATGAAACACTTAGTAATAACTAAGTGTTTCCAACATTAATTGTTGGATCCATTATGTCTATATAGCTGACGTTTCGTGGAATATTATTCAATGTTGCGTAATATGTTACACTTTATGAAAATGAAAGCAATAAGCAGAGAAAATATTTTGAATAGTATTCCACGTTTAAGAACTTGTTTATTTCGACACAGTTGGCGGTCAAGCAGAGCAATTAAGAGGGTTTTTGGAGTGTTCTGTTCTAGATCTACTTAAGAAAATTAATGCCGGTATTTTCGTTTACTGACAACTCTGAAGTGCGAAAAGTTTATTCACACGTGCTTGGGCAGGCGGGCGGGTAGAGCCTTGAACAAGTATCGTGTTAAGCCAGAAAAGTTGAGCGACAAGTTCAGTTTTGGCACATTGCCTTGGGAAAAGCTTTCTGAGATTCTGATGACGAATTAAGAGCCACTAAAGAGTAAAAGCTTGAACGACCTACGATTATAAGCCTAACGATTTTTTAAAGACATTTTTATGGTTTTAGTGAAAAAAATGAAAAGCTGATGTTCATACGAACTCGAAAATAAAATACACAAATCAGTGAAATTACAAATTGTAAATGCGCGATGGTGTTCGGAATAATTTTACACTCAATTATTTCTCAACTTTTGGAGGGAAAAGAAAAAGGAAAAAAAAAAACTCGTCAACCATTTAATCAAATGACTGATCATTTTCGAGTCTTTGAGCCCTTCATATGATTTGTCATTAATGATCCGTGCGTAACGAACTAACTTATTAGCATATGGCATATTATTTGAATTTAGAAACCTTTAATATGTCGATCCCAAATGTTTAAGTCTCAATTCACTTCAAAAGTTTCTCCCCATATTTGTTCGTAAATCCATAATAGAGCTAAATAGTTTGATAACTAACGAAGGTCTGTTTGAAATGTATTCCGAAAATATTTTCAAATAAATTTAACAATAGGTACACTTTTGAATCTGATAAAAACTCAAAACATATTTCACAAAAGCGTCACAGTCCACTGCAGTTACTATTTTTCTCATTACAACACTCATTAACTTTTCCCAAGGTGATTATGACATCTTGGAGAAACAAATGATACAATTTCGTAAGAAGTTTTATGAAATGTCACACCCCACATTCAGAAAGCTCTGAATTACGCACGTCTACGACACGGTACCTCCAGCTTCACTTCGTCTTCGCAGGACGGCGCATTTTACACTAGTTTATCAATATCGCGATGGAAACCGCACTTCCTCTGTTCATTACGGAGCCGAGGGAGCAGTGCTGCAGTGGCGAGACCCGCACTGCCGATAGGGGGGGGAGGGGAGGGAGGTCGCCCGAGGAGGGGCGGGGGCGGAGGGGTCGCGCAGGCGCAATGGCCGCCGCCTGAAGTGCTCCGCCCAGCTGCTTCGGGTCGCCCAGCTGCACGTAGAAGAGCACGTCCTTCTCGTAGCTGTCCTCGTCCACGATGTTCAGGGGGATCACCTTACTGCAACACAAGACGAGGCGCACCTTAGCACAGCTTCACGTCTCAGCAACAGGCTTGTTTCGATGTAACACTTCATGGTTCTCATATTATCAAGAGCATCAGAATGGAAAGTAATGTTTAGAACAAATATATTTAATGAATTGGTTGCCATTTGGACTGTCTAATTACAAAAAAAGACTAAATATGCATATAACAAGTATTATACCTCGGCTTCTAGGCCAATGACCCCATCTCAATCAAGTTTTTCGTTCAGTTACCCGAATCCTTTAGGAATGCTGAGATGGCTCCATATTTTCCCTCTGGATATAAATGTAGCTTCACTATCTTTGCACGTTTCTAGAGTTTAGTGAATACTATAGTCACTCAAATTAAGGATTTCTATGTTCTCGCGACAGTAAGTCTATTCCTGCACGAAGGGTACGATGAGGGGATATTGGCCCAAGTTTAGCTCTTTTTTCTTTCCCGTATACGGAGTAACACACGTAGTATGGGAAAAGTTATGTAATGCTCCGGAAAATCTATTTCAAGATTTCAACGGAAATACACGTTTTGAGGTCTTCAAATACCGAAGTGTTTTTAAAACGTCCGCCCGTCCGTAAACACTAATAGCGCCTAAACCATGCGTAGGGTTTTTTCCAAAATGAAAAAAACCCTGTTCATCTGATTTGAGTCGAAACTTTAAGATTTTGAAAAACATTCTTCAAAATTCGGGGGTAGTTTACAGGAAGCAAATTTCAAGTTTCTCAAAAACAGAAATTTTTTTCTTTAAATTTCTTGTAAGAATAGAGTAACAGACGCTTATAAACGTGGCATAGGACTGATTTTCACGGTTAACTCTAAATTTTTAATAGTATCTATTTTTTCGGTGTCTTCCTACAACAACAAAATTAACAGTATAGAGATTTTTCCTTCAAATAAAATTTATTCTCCATAGCGAGTTCTTCCATTGAGGTCATATACATTTTTTTTGAAAATGTTAGTAGTTTTCGCTCAATATTGCGTGTATTATGTGCAATTAAAACTAAATTATAAAAACAAGATTTTCTCAAAAATTTTTGTACGGACAGGAGCTGAATATTAAAGAAAGACATCAAATATAAGATATACCGATTTACGAAATGGGAAACACATTGGAGGAAATGAAATAAAATAAATTCACACATTGGAGAATGGAGGCTGATGCACATAGTAATTGAAATCATTGAATAGGCTTAAACATCCCAGGCTAACTTACACAACAAGCATTAATGAAGTTTGCTGCTTAAATTAACGTTTCATTCATAAAATATTCATACTAAATTCCACTCGTGCTCTGGAAATTCTCAGATAAATCCCCTTGTTGCTTCGATACTAAGGAATTTATGGATGACGTCCAACGCACGAGTGGGAATGCCTATTGAACGATATGAATCACAAGGTGATACAGTTTACTTGTTCCAGTTTCCTCTACATTTAGTTTCTGCAACACGAGTATTGGAATACTCAATATTTTCCTAATAATTATGCGATAAAATAAATATTTCAATTCAACTTTAATCTAAATATGTACAAAGGTTTAATATTATTATACTCAGATGCAGTGATTATGTATAGAGAGAGTCAGAGAGATATGAAAAAAGTATAGCAGATTGTCAATAACAGATAAATGGGATAATCTTCTCCATCTGCATTTTGAATACTGATAATGCTTGGTAATTTCATTTTATCAATACAAGCAAAAGCATTTAATTTCACTTTATCTAGAAATATTTGTCGACACATTTACATTTTCTATAAATTCGTAAAACCGTTGATTACGAATAAATTTGCCGGAATATTCTCTTCGAGGAATTAATATTTCAAAAGTGACGGACATATTTGATAAAGTAGAGGCACAAGCGATTAATAGTTTTGTGCACTAACACCACTTAATTAATTTACGCACTTTTTATGAAGTTTCCATTTTGTTCACACGAAATCTCGGAATCTAAAATTAAATTGTCAGGAATCACAAAAACATATGAGAATAAATTCACTTATTGGAGGACATAAAACAGAAAAATAGTTTTGGCCGTCAAAATGTATCACCAATACAAAGCAGGCGAGACCTGAAGCAGACGAAATAAAACAAGCGCGGATTAAAAAAAATATAAAATAATGGGGAAATATGTTCTGTCCATAAAAGCTTCCTCAACAGCGAACGGGAACACAAGGCCCTCCGCACGCGAAGCTATAGAGTCACTGTGCACGCGATGTGCTGAGCTGAAGAGCGGGAGTGAACACTCGGGCAATGCGGAGCCAGCAGGCGAAATTAAACGAAATGTTCCTTTTTAATTTTAAGAATATTGGGCCGCCAAACTTTAAATTCAATTCAACCCTAGAATAACGCTGAAAAAATATTTACATTAAGATCTTTCACTCCCCCCGGTCCCTAAACAATACAGTAGATTGATACCCCCTAATAAACTCATTAAATACTTAGGTTTATACGTAGATACCAAGTTAAATTGGGGAAAACATAAATGACAAGGCGACCCAAGTCTAAATAAACCTGTCACAGCTACGACGTTTAATATACAGGAACAGTCTAATACACTACAAATCAGCCATAGCCATTTACATAACAATCTTAAGACAGCTAATGCTAAATGAGAGCCCAATTTGGATCAACTCTGCCAAAACTAACATTCACAAATTACAAGTCCTGCAAAATGAATTCTTACGAACACACGGTACGTGTTATCATGCCCTTTGGTGTACAACTAAAAACCAACTTCATAATGAATTTAATCTGAAACCTATAGAACAACACAATAAGTATCTGGACTCCAACTTTTATTTTAACCTACCTCAAATCCCATCCCTTTCACCCCTCAAACTGGCCAAAAACACCATTTTCCAAACAGCAATAAAAAAATAATATCCATATCACATATTCAGAAAAAAATTGCCGATTTAGATCCTGACTGAGGACCCTTTAACGGGAATTTCTCCCCCTTCCCCTCTTCCCGTAATAGCATAAGTTTACATTTAAGTTTAAGTTTTTTAATACATATGTATAGTTATATTTACTGAGCTACGTTCTTCTGAAAATCTATAAAAAAATTAAGAATGATCCGCACGATAAGCAAGGCTGTTATCAAACTTTAGCTATGTTATTGATTATTATAGCATTCGATAGAAGGTGGAGCCCAATTACTTATCTGAATCGAGAGGAACGTGGTCACGAGGGAAATATGAAAACAACTGAATGATGCTACATGTGTTCTTACGGAGGAGATTATAAAAGGGTCTAACGGGAGGGAAATATGAAAAGACGAGTCAACTTAACATCTAGACAATTAGTGGATAATCCAATACGATTCTTTGAATTGGGTGAAAAATAAAACATTGTCTGTGCTATGGAATTAACTGGTTCTAATGATATCGGGCGTCAAAGAACCTTTAGGCGCAAGGCCTTCAGGCGTTTTGTCGCCACTCGATCATTAGAATCCTTATATCGCCCTTGATGCGAAAAAAATATTAATTCCATTAAGCTCTAATCTACAGCCGAGGAATACTGAAAACGTTGAGTACGAAAATGCACTGTATAGTTGAAAATGACACTTTCACATTTAACAAAATGAAAGAGCAGAAAGGGGAACTTTAATGATGGGCATTAACAATTCTATGATTTCGGGAGATGTGTTATGCACCAGTGACGATATGTGCCGTCTCTCAGATTGATTTTAGAACACACATTAATAATAATTAAAATAGTAAAAGTAATTAAATGTGTGGCCTGAGAATTGCGTGAGAACAACATGGCATTTCCAAAAAAAATTGAGAGAAACTGATGTTAGCCGATTCGGGTCCTCTTCCAATAAAATCCAATATTAAAATATTGGAAGATTTACGTGGGGAGAGTAGATACTTTGATTATAAAAGATTTGACATTAAGGGATATTTTGAATTTGTTTTTGTGTGAGAACGTTTGTTAGGCTTCTAACTTTTTAAAACATTGCTTCCATAAGAAACAATAGATAATTATCAATTATGTGATACATAAAGGGATATTTTGAAATATACGTTTTTTTCGTGTGAATGTTTGTTAGGCTCCGAACTCTTCGAAACATTGCTTCTAGCCCTCCCGCTTATTCCTTGGAAGTTCGGCAGTGAGGCCGATGGCACCGTGTTCCGTGGGAACACCCAGTCTGTTCAGACGCGACCGCGGAACAAAGACCGTTGTTGCCAGTTGCGATCAATCCGTTTTCTATTTATGTAATCCTGAACTGTAGGCGATAGTCTTAAAATGTTTATGAGAAAGTAGCCTGTAATTTTACCAGCCAGTTTTCGACCTTTGTTACTTCAACACAATTTCCTAGTACCTAGCTCAATTGATTTGAGAGTATTATGACTTTTTAGCTTCAAATTTTCCATCGGAACTCCAAGAAGGCACATTTTTTTTTCTCGAAGCTCTTATTTACAAATTTCTCACCTTGTGAGAAAAAAAATCAATTACACACATTTGTATTGGTATTTGATTGCCCTCAAATTCAGGAAGTATATAAAATGGAATTGAAGTAAATCAAAACGTCGTCGATTTCGTAATAACTTCATACACAAAATGACTTGACTTCTTGTTAGGTATTCGTATCAAGGAAATCAAAAACTCCTAGTTACAACAACAATATTAGATAAATTAGCACATGTAACTGTGCGAAACCATTTTCTCTTAACTTTTCTTATATTTTCGCGTGTCTCTTTGCTTATTAACTTATGTCAATCAGCGTAGATATATTCTTTCATGAAAGAGAACTTGCATGAGGAAACTAATCTTTTATAGATGAGTACTTAAGAAAGAAGGCTACTTATCGCTCGAAGATATTCGCAAACCTTTCTTAAAAAAGGTTTTTAGATCTCCAACAAGTCTGCCAATTACAATTTTGTCCCTCTAACGTAAATAGCAAAAGCA